GTTCGTATATAAGCTCTTTTTTTCTGTTACTAGGTCTGTTGTACTGAGTACTCTTTCTATTACTATTTTGTTTCAGGGCTTTTTCAGAATACTGTTGAGCATTTTTTTATCCTCATACCCGATCATGTCAAATCTTCTTTCGATATTATCTCTTATTCTTTTTTTCTGCTCTATTCTTTGTTCTGGGATCATTTTCTTTTCTATTACTTTTATCCAACCTTTAAGATCTTCAACCCATTGTTCTGTTTATTTTCCCTTAGCTTCTTGGATTTTAGTATCATTATTCGAGTTTACTGACTTAATTCGAATATTTACTCAGGTTTGGTCTTCAGGTTTAATTTTTATATTTAGATTTAAACATCCCATATAGCCTATTTTTCTTAGCTGCTTTATTCACTTGTATCTTGGGTTCCATATAACTTGTTTTTATTTTTCTTCTATAGTATTTTAAATTTTCTTGTGCAGAATTATTTTGCTTGCAGCTCAATTTATTAATTCTGCCAATTTCTCCCATACTTCATTTATCCAAGTTTAATTTGGAAGATCACAACTTTCTTTCTTTAATTCCTTTCTCTGGTATTCTTCTATATATTTCTCTAGTAGTGTTGTAAAGTTTTCTCAATCTTTATCTGTCATTTTGTCATATAAAAAAATTTTTCGCTAACTGGAGAGTTTTTTCTTTTGCTTTGCGATTAAGTTAGTGTGAAGTATAGGGTTTAGCAATAGATTTGTCCATATCAGGTTGTAGTCACTTTCTGTGACAAATCCATGCCTTCAATGTCACTATCTATTATGAGTTCTTTGATTTCAGAGTCTAACCAAATGTGGTCTATTTTTGAGCATGATTTACTGTTGGACCAAGTTGCCTTAAATGTTTGTGGATTCATAATCATGTATGCTTCTGCATATTCTACTTTTTGTAGCCATCTTATAAGGGTAATTTGCGCCTTTTATTCTTTTTTTTGTACCAGATTGGTTAGTATCTGCATCTATTTCTGTATCTATTTCTGTATTAAAATCTCACTCTATAATTATCTTCATATTTAATTTACTTTTGGTGACATCTTCTATTAGATACTGTTGAATTTTTTTTTGGGTATGCTTGTCATTTGAAGGAAAGTATACTACCCATATTACTAGTATTGTTTTTTTAAATCTAAAGACCGCTTTTAGTGTATATATGTCTTTTGCTATTATCTCAGTAAAGTGTGTCTGCTATTTTTTTCTTACTAGCAGTCCCACCCCGAGCCTTTTCTTTTCTCTATTGTGTCTTTGAACTAGTAGGCTCTATAGTGTTGCCAATTTACTTCAATAAAATTTGCCTTTCTTGCATTTGTATTTATCTCTGTTAAACTAATAATATCCAAACTTTCTTCTTTTCCAAAGTTAATTAGCTCCTGTAATTTTGTTCTATTCTTTTTTAACCCATTAATGTTATAAAAACCTATTTTTAATTGTTCAAAGTTATTGTAGTCTCAGGTATTTGAATTTATCTTAGGTGGTGTTTGCCCTAACATGCTGTTTTGCTTGTTTGATTTTTTTAATATGCCTGTGGCACCTTTTAGGAGAGATTGGGGCCTACAGCCCCTGTTTTTTTTCAATTTTTTGAAGTCTGATTAGAATTTGCTCTAGGATATTACTTTGGAGCTTTGAAGTATTAGAGGCATTATTTCTTAACTCTTTTTTCTTGGTTTTCTTTTCTTTTGCTTTACCTATTTCTATTTTATTTGCACTAGTTGCTACTTTATTTGGTAAGTGATTTTGTCTAATCATTCTGTTATACTCTACTCTTCTAAGTGGCTTTCTGTGTACTATTATTACTAGGTGATCTTCTTCTTTTAAGGTTTTGTCTACTAAAAGCTCCTTGAATTTTTGAGTGGGGTTGTTATTGTTGCCACTTATAGTAAATATGTTTTGATTTTCTTTGGAACTAGTGTACCTTGCTAATCTACTATTCCTTTTTGCTCCACTCTATTCTGTTGTGAAAGTAATATGGTATTGATATCTTTGCTAATTGTAGGTCTTCATTTGACCTGAAGTAGACTAGAGCATTTTTATTTGGATTGTTATTACTATTTTTAAGCTTAAACACCATCTTTGCTTTGAACTTTCTTAATTGTCTCAATAGTACTGATTCAAGTGCCAAATTAGGAATATTCCTAAGCATAATTCTGTACTCTTTTCTTGTTTCTAGTTCCTGGAAATCAAATTGATTTGCTGTGAACCTGCTTGTCTTTCCTTTTTCAAAGTATATAGCCCATGCATTTTGCAGATCTAGCTTCTGCTCTTTACTTTTGCAAGTTATCTTTATGAATGCAGCTACCGATCTTTTTAATATGCACTATTTTATTACCTTTACTCTGCCGTATTGATTGAGACATTTTCTAATTCTTGCTGTATTTATACTAAAAGGTAAATTCCAAATTGTAGAATATAACTCCAAATTTTCTTCTCTTTCTGTTATATAGTTTTATTCATCATAGATTGTGATATATTTCCAGATGCCCATACCAAGCTATATATATTTTTTCTCTCTTTCAGATCTTTGGAAATCTCATAATTATCTTTTTTAATGTTGCTTTGCTTTTTTATATCTTGTATTTTATCAGTAGTTTTATATTGTTCTGTCTCCATATTCAGACTTTTAAATTGAGAGATTAATTTTACTGTGTCCTCTGTACTATAATCTGTTGTTCCACTTTTCGAGAAAATTAATAAAAATTTGTAGTTCTCTTTTGAGTCATGACATTGCATTAGCAATTCTTTATCACTTTCATTAAAGTTTAATTCTGAATTTCTTATATGATTTGTTTCTTTCTTTTTTGAAGCTATGTTGCTTTGTGTGTTTATGTTACATTCTCTTTTACCAAGTACTGAGATTGGAGTTTTTATATCTAAATTTATTTCTGCAGTGTGGCCTATAATTTGTCTATGAGCAGTTTCTATTGTAGTTTCGCCTATAAGTTGTGCCTCTACTTCTGATATTTCTTGTCCATTATATCTTTTACTTTAAACCCAATTATAGCTATTTAGTAGCCCACATATTATACCAATTTGTTCTGGGTGTGCTGCTCCCGTGAAGCTTGCTATATCTCTATCTATCTTGAGAGTTATCCATTTTTGTTCTAAGTATATTTTTTCTAATTGCTTCTGTGAGTTGTTAAAAAAATTCTTTAATTCTGCTATTCTAGTCATTTTGTCTCGAGTTCTTTATAATATATGCATTTTATTTTGTTGTTTGTTTGTCTACTTTAATTGTTTGTTTACTTGCAGCTTTGTTTGTTTGTTAGTCCTAATAGGAGTATGTGTCACTGTTTGTTGTTTTGGTATAACAATTAGTGATCTGTTTGTTAGAGGTTTGCCAAATTCTCACTTTTTGTGCCGAAAGTTGTAAAAATTTTTAAGATTTTCTAGTTGCTACAAAATTAACTATTGAAGTATCCTGTTTACTTCTAAAAGAGTTCCTTTGTTTTATGTAGAGGTTTCTTTTTTCCTAGAAGGGTTTTGGCAGTTTATAGACTTGTTTTTATGATATATGCTATTTTTTTTTAATTCTAAATTTGGTACAGAGGATTAGCAGAGAGAGTTGAATATCAGGATGATATATAATTTTAGATCTTGTTAAATGTTTTAATTGTCATAATTAATTAGTTGTTTCAATCTTTTTCACTAGCCTCATCTTAAAAAAAACAAAAATACTTTTGTTGTACAGGACTATAACAGAAAGACAAATATATTTTATAAAAAAGCATGGATAGAAACTTGGTTTGCGCTTATTGCATGTCTGTTAAAGCCAAGATGTTTTTTAACAAAAATGATAAAGACATCTTGATAAAATATTATTTGCTCAAGAGATAGTTGAGTAAGTAGCTTGCAGTGAGATATTATTTTGTTATTTTAATGCTTAATTTTTTTATAAATTACAAGCTCTTTTCAACAAAAAAAAATCTTCTGGCAAAGTTGACATTTACTCGCCATTAGTATTCTCAATATATTAGCTAATTCTTTAGCAGCTGCTTGGCTTTAAGATTCTGCATCTAAGCATTCATTCATTCAAGAGAACTTAGCTTCTATAGAATCTGACAAGTACGTGTAATAGATTATTTAAATTTTGATGATATAATCGAATAAAATCTATGATTGGTTGATAATCATTTTTTGATCAAAATCGGATTTATGTGACATATCGAATGGAAACAAATCTGCCCATATGATGTACATACGTACTAAAAGAGGTAATGTATTGAATCTGATTGGTTACATTTGATTTTTTTGGAAAATCGGCTAACTAAGCCGGCTAAGTCGATAAAAATCGACTATGCGAAATTGACTACAAACACTAAATAAGATTTTAAGATTTAAGATTTTCTACAGGGGGATCCCCAAATTTACGGGTCGTAATGGCCGGAATGCGTCTTGGTTAGGGTCGGGTTAGGGTTGGGTTAGGGTTAGTGGAAGCTATAGGCTATAGTAAAATTATCAGCTGGGCACTTTTCACTTAATGAACGACTATTGTTTCATTAGTAAAATTTTTAGTGATCTTGGGGCAAAATCGATCAACTCCGGCCCTTCCGACCATAGTTCCGAAGCTCCCGACCCGGAATTTTGGGGATCTCCCTGTAGGAGTTCTAAATAAGTGAGTTCCAAACCTAATTTTAATATAAAAAGTTGAATTATTTTGCAAAACTTAACAATATTATTTGAAATTACTTAACCCCAAATTAATAAATTTGGATTGCATCTCTATAGCCAACCAATAATTGAACTCGCCTTTTTATTTCAAAGTTATTTTATTTAATCATACTAAGCATTTATGATGTTAATAATTTAATAATCTATAACGTGAAATATCTATGAATAATACAATATAGCTATTGTTTTTAACACAAAAAAAAAAAGATGTAAAATTTAAATACAGTATCTAAGAAATAATTTTAGCTATACCTTTCAAGAAAAAACTACTAATCCATCAATTCTAATTATTCTTCGAAATTTCAACACTAATTTCTCCCACTTCTTTTCAAAATTTCAACACCTTCTAAAGCCGTAATGTCCGGTAAATCCCAAATCTTACCTTCTAAACCACCAAATTTACCTTTGTCAAGTGGTTCAGGCTTGTCTAAAAATCCAACTTTAACTAGATACCCTAAATAAATTCCCATAAGCTTTTCGTCAATCACCATACATTCCTGACCAACAATATCACTAGTATTCTTATCATCTAATTCTGGAGCCTTAGTAGAGGTAGGCAAATCATCTAATACGAAATGAAGCAAGGGATATAGCGCATTATCTTCTTGTTGTAATGTAAATTCCATTAGTTCATTTCTCCAAATTACATATTCTGCTTTTGTAACATTATAGCCGTAGAGAATTAATGAGTTGAATAGATCAATAAACCTGAATGATGGATATTTTGGATGTGTTATGTGAAAAACACCACGATCAGAAGCTACAGGCGACAATGATATTACTGTAATACAATGAGCAACGTAGTCCACAGGACACATGTTAAGTGTATTATAGATTGTTGGGATCAGATGTAGTTGAGTACAGCCTTTAATTAGACGCCAAATGAAATCATCCGTGTTCGTTACTAACAAATGAAAATTAAGGCCCAGTTTAGTTTAGGTAAATAGATCATTTATAAACTTAAAAAAAAACCAAAACATACCACCAGTTTTACTATCCCCAACGATATATCCTGGTCTTACAATACAAGCATTTAACCCTCTTTTCTTAGCTTCCATAATCAACTTCTCCGCAACCCACTTACTTTGTCCATAACCACTTTTTAATTCAAATCTGCTACCTTCCAAATCATCATTTTCACTAATTCCTTTACCCTCACCTTTTTCAATGATCGAATCACCTAATGAAACATAGTGTCTTGTGTCTAACACAGATGTAGAACTTACAAATATAAATGGTTTTGAATGATGAGCACTTGCTAGGTTTATGCACCATAATGTTCCTATAACATTTGCAGATTTGAGTTTTGGATATGGATATACCCAGTGAACCTATTTTGTTTAAGATTGATGTTAGTAGACAATTAATGAAACTAGATATGTTTAGGGGATCAAACAATAAAAAACTCACAAATGCACCATTATGCACAATAACATCAACTCTCTCACACAAAGATTTCCAATCCTCCTCTTCAATTCCTAATCTTTCCTTTTCCAAATCCCCACATACTACTTCTAATCTTCCTTCACTCTCCCATTCATCGCGCCACACTAAATGCGATTTGCAACTCTTTTTAAGTCTTTCCATTCCGAGTTGTTTTGTTTCAGCTCTTACATGCGCGATTATTTTAATCTCGTTATTATTGCTTAGCAAATCTGATAATATAAACGCCCCAAGGAATCCGGTCACACCTGTGACGAAAAACACCTTTCTTTGGTAATTTTCTGGAATTGGTGAGTAATTTTGCAACAAATATTTGGATGCCAGGATTTCTACATCATCTGCATAATTTATTTCTGGCTTTCCCATTTCAATAACCGATTTAGAATTTGCAGTAATATTATTGGCAGCTTGAATTTCGGCACCTTCATCAACCATATTAAGTTCACCTCTTAGAACAATGTCAATTTCATTAGCTTGCTCGCGAATAGTGGGTTTCTCATACACTAATCCAAGTGGAATATTTACGCCGCTTTTTTTTCTTAATTCAAATATTAATCTTGTAGCCAATAATGAATGTCCTCCTAAGTCAAAGAAATTTTCATCTAGCGGAATAAATGGGGTTGGTGGATTTGGAAGTAATTGTGCCCAAATCGCGTGAACTGCTTTTTCAGATTGTGACATTTTTTGAATTTTTGCGCCTTTAGATGTTGACACGAATTTTGCAGTATCAGGGAATGGCAATGCTTGTTTATCTACTTTTCCATTTGGTGTCAATGGCATCCTTTTCAACGGAACAAATACTGTCAAAACAAATTAAGAATTAGCCAACCCAAATTATATGACATTAAATTTATATAGATAATTTTTATATTACCACTTGGAATGCAATAAGAAGGCACCTTCATCTTTAAATAATCTTTAATTTGTTTTATAAGCCTATTATATTTTCGTTTTTCAACCATCGTTTCTGTGGCATCATTTTCATCTCCAGAACTTAAAAATTCTTCTAATTCACCTGTTTGGAGAGGTACAAAATAGCAAACAAGGGTTTGCTCTTCATATTTGTCTCTCCTCACTAACGTGACATTCTCCCTAATAAGCGGATGTTGTGACAGATGAGTGTCGATTTCTCCAAGTTCAATACGGAATCCACGAATCTTAACTTGATCATCAACCCTTCCAACGCATTCAACTGAACCAGTGGCACATTGGTAAATAGTTAAGGTAAAAATAAGTAAATAAATAAATAAACAAATATATATATATATAATATAAATTGTAATAAAAAATATTACCATCTCCACTAGGTCGATACCTTCCTAAATCGCCAGTTTTGTATAACCTATCCCTTTTTCCTTTCCAAAAACGTTTCCACTCTTTACTGTCATCAACATCATCTTGTAACCCTTCTAGGCCTTCATTAAACCAATTCGTCAAAAATTTTTCGTTCGTAACATCATCCAATCTCAAATATCCTTCAGCTAATCCACCAGCCCGCACATAAATTTCACCAATCTCTCCAACACCACATAGAAGAGTTTTATTACGCCTGTTAACCACCAATAATTGTACATTTTGCATACCTTTACCGGCTGGCATTATATCTTTTTGTGATTCCAAAAATGTTTGAGTAGAAGATAATGGTGGAATTAGAAAATACGAAACTGAACGTTGAGTTTCAGTTGTACCATACATATTGATGATATTGGTATTTGAAGCTAAATGTTGAAGACGGTTACAATCTCGTTTTGTTAAGATGTCGCCAACAAAGAATGCATTGCGGAGTGTTGGAATTGGAGCGGTAGCATTTGCAGAAAGTAATTGACCCATTGCTTATATTCATTGATTTATTTTTTTAACAATTTTAATTCATGGCATAAGTTATCATATAAAAGCTCAACAGGAATGGGAATTAATACCAGGAGTGAGATGTGTAACAGTGACTTCATGTTCGGCCATCCACTCTGCTAACTTTCCAGGAACACCAATATCTTCACTAGTTGGAATGTGTAATTCAGCACCAAAAAATAAAGGTGTAAAAACTAAATAAAAATAATTATAATAATAATAATGTTAATAATAATATTAAAATAAAATTAGAAAACTATCGTAATTCAATTTTGAGTTTAATGAAATACTAACTGTCCCGCTGAATTGGGTCATGAGCGATACCACTTAACATGGTAAATCGATCTTTATCTGAAATCCCAAATTTTTGCGACATCCACGGATAATAATGTGTGAGCGAAAAATGTCGTCCTCTTACACCTTTGTTTAATTAAATAACAGTTTAGTTAACTAAATATATATTTCTTTTGATACTGTGAAAAAAGTATGTACCTTTAGGAGTTCCAGTACTTCCACTAGTAAAACTCAAAGTACCAATGCTATCGGGTCCAATGATTACACCAACGTCTTTAGACGCACTATCACGAACCACATCGAATATGTCCACATCATTCTGATCATGGATATTTCCACCTTTAAGAAACCCATCATCCAATATTTCAAGTGCAGGAATTTCACATTTTAAATTAAGATTCTCTCGAATATACGTTCTGACCAACGAATGGACAGTCCCGCTATGTTTAAGAATAATCAATCCTCTTGGTACTGCGACTGAGAGATATATATTTTGGCGTTCTGGTGGGTAGGCAGGATCTGTTTATAAAATTTTAAGAGTCAATTATATTAAAGTTAAATATGGTTAATCTTTAGTAGCATATCGGCGGATTTTGGGAATTTACTATTAAAAATTCCAAAAATATTTAACGGTGAATAACTTTTGACCCACTGATCCGTTTTCGACAGAACAATTACCAAAATTTTCGTCTCAGTGAGACGATTCTAATGGATACATAATTGCCAAAACCCAATCACAGGATTCCGATATCTTTGATGATTTGTTCCACTTCGGGTGTTTTAGGATTGGTTTAACCAATCCTAAAACACCCGAAGCGACGCAAAT